AAAAAAAAAAAAAAAAGAAAGATGAGGTAGGTCGATGGAGTAGGCCTAAAGCAAATGAACAACTTCTACTTGTTTTTCCAGAATGAAATAATTAGAACAGAGATCTCCAGGACAAAGAAATGGCCTGAGTGAAAAGAATTCCTTCTCTGGTGCTCTTTGGTTGATGGGTATTAAAGAGGACAGAATAGTTTTAGGAAGGGAATTAACTCTATGTACCATATAACTTTATCGAGTGCTAAAATTATGCAGATAATATATAAAATTGTTTTTCTACCCCTAACCCCATACTGTTTTATTTAATTCTTAAACCAATCAGGCATAATAATTGTTATGTTGCCTTTTTTTTTGAGTTGGAGTCTCACTCAGTAGCCCAGACTGGAGTGCAGTGGCTGCTCCCGGCCACTGAAGCCTCGACCTGCTGGGCTCTAGCGAGCCTTCCGCCTCAGCCTTCCAAGTAGCTGGAACTACAGGCGTGCGCTACCACGCCCGGCTAATTTTTTGATTTATTGTAGAGATGAGGTCTTGCCAAGTTGCTCAGGCGGGTCTAGAACCTGTGGGCTCAGGCAATTCACTCACCTCAGCCTCCCAAAGCGCGGGAATACAGGCTGAGGTTATGTTGACTTTTTAGAGAATGACAACGAGGATAAGAAAGTTATGCAATTGAGTCAAGGTTACTTAGGTAGTAAATGAAATTGCTTTTTCACTATGTCACAATGCCTCCAAAAAAGAACAAACAAGCAGGTTAAGGGAAACAATGATTCACTCAAAAAGATTAATTTTTTTCTTGCACTGATGAAAATCTGAAGGTGGCTGCTTGTGTCAGGTTAACAAACAAGGATAACTAGTGGCTTCCCTGGAGTTGGCAAGAGGGTTCACAGATATCCTACACCTTTCTTTTTAACATTGCCACCTCGGGGTCAGAAACACTTGGATTTCTGCCACAGGAGAACAACAGGTTTATCATACAGCCTTAAAATAAAACAATACCTATATCTCTGTCCATTTTATTCCAACTTAACCTTAATTTTCAGCAATTTAAACACTATGGGATAGCTGCCTACCCACTGGAGAAATCATTATGCCCACGCCCCCCCCCCTTTTGAGTTGGAGTCTCACTCTGTCACCCAGACTACAGTGCAGTGGCCGCTCCCGGCCATCGCAGCCTCGACCTGCTGGGCTCTGGCGATCCTTCT